TACCGTGCGCCCATGGCATCCAGCGGAAGGCTCAACGGTGCATCAAGTTCACATGCACCCTCGCCGTCCAACGATGTCCATTTACGCGATTCATTCGAATTCACGCAGTCGGCGATCCGGACGGCAAGGTCAGGAGGTCCTGTGCAGGCGTCGCGCAAAGCGTCTGCGCTGCTTCCCTTTGCGCCCCAGTGCACGCAAGAGTCGCCCATGCTCAGTCCATCTCGGTTCAAGTGCAACCTGCGAGTGCGCCAGATGATCGAAAGATTCCGTCCAGCAAGCATGTCGCCCATCAGATTCTACGACCGATCCACTGGCAGGGTCAAGTTCGTGCTGTCTCCAAAACCATACCAATCGTCGCCCCCGCTTCCCGAGGACGACCTTGCTGCTCTTGGCCCACTAGAGCTTGCAAAAGCGTTAGAGACTGCCAGAGGCGTTTTGCCTAGTGGTGCAATTCTGATGCCTTCCGGGAGCACTGAAGATATGTGCTTTGTTGCCGATAGCAACATGGGTAACAATGGCTCTAGCAACAGCGGCGGCGGCGGCGGCGGCAGCAGCAGCAGCAGTAAGGCTGGAATCATGTACTTGCTCCACCCGTTCCTCCCTCTGGTTTTGTCAACGCGCAGCGATAATGGTCCCAACACTATGCCCACATCAAACATCCACTTTTGGCGTGGCTAGAGCGCAAAATGTTTGTAGGAGAAGCTTTCGCTTTCACTAATCTGTATCATATTTTTTCTATGTTTTCGAAAGAAGCCGCAAGTCCCTCCAAGAATCCATCAAATGATCCCATCCCGTGTTTTTAAATTAGCAAATATACACATACCCAAAAGTAATTTCAAAGACCTTGAAGTCTATTGCTCATTGGCGTTTTACATAACCCGATGGTTCTGTAGCTCGTTCGTTTTGTGGGTTGTGACCACACAAACTAGGTACAATCGTTTCAGTTGATGGTGAATAACATTTTGTAAATAAAATAAATAGCCTGCGAGACTATTGAACATACATATAGGTTTCCCTAGCAGTCACAGTTGCTTGAGACTGACTGTTCCAATGCTATTAATTACCCTCATGGTTGACAGTGAGTCCTAAATATCCCTACGAGCTTTTGGTGTGAGGTCCCCGAATAAAGACAGTTGAGGATATGAAAGCCATTCGTGTTGTATCCTGAAAGCCATCAATTTTGTCTGTTTATTCACGAAAGCACATGGCAAGCAAAGCCAATTGGTAATACGATAATGGTGCGAAGCGGTCTTGCACTGCCGCTCAACAAAACGAAGTGTGCGCACTAATGGGGAGAAGAAAGCTGGCGATATGGTTGGTGTTTTCCTAAAAAAAAAAAAATTTGTTAGGGGACGCAACTGATCTGCTATATACCCAAGGGCTGTCTTGCTAAGAACGTAAAAACGGCTCAAAGCCGGGCTAGCTCAATCGGTAGAGCGTGAGACTCTTAATCTCAAGGTTGCGGGTTCGACCCCCGCGTTCGGCTTCTTTTATTACTCGATACTTATGATGCTTCCTTTGGCGACAGCTTCACAACTTCAGCTCTGTCGATCTAAGCATCTTTTTTTTGCCATGTAAAAAGTTATTGCAACAAAATAAAAGTGGCCAAATATGTAGAAAAAAAAACAAAGACAGAGCGCGCGCACGAATCAGTAGAGCAGGTGGATGACCTGTGCACCTGTTTCCTC